CCCATGGTGCCAATATAACCAACACAAAGGTTTTTAAAGAGAACCAATTATTTTGTGTACTTATTTAGGGGGGGACCCACATTTAACCCTTGCATTACTCATTCCTAAATACCATGACAACATCTCTCTGTAGATTACTTGCATCACAAAGTGTACAACAGCTAGTATTGATTAAACTTTTTGCAGTAAGCATGCCACCAGCTCTGTGAACAATCTCCTGCTGGACTTTTGGATTTTACCAGAAGAAAAGTTGAGAACACGGTTTCTTCTGGCATAAAACTGACTGCATGCAAATGCAAGTGGCTTCTTTAACCATTATTTGGTCATACTACCAGGTGCACCACTTGTTTATTACACACCCAGATTAATATGATAAGTAGTCAAATCAAACACATTATGGAAATATAAATCATTTCTAGAATCAAGCTTAATTGAGTAAATGTATTCATATGTAAACTGAGCTGATTTTTCATTAAAAAGGTACTCTTCATCTACTGCAAGTCTTCTCTGAACTCACAGAATTACTGTCTTCTTTCTTAGCTCACAGCTACAATTACATCAGTTATTGGAGAGCCCTTTGCACTTCTGCCTGTCATATAGCAACAAGTCACACAAAACTGTATTCAATCCACTCACCAAATTTCCATTTGAGAGCAAGTGATCTAGACGTCTGCATCCCCCCCAAGACACACACAAAAAAATCCAACCCATGAGCTAGACAGGCAGAAGACCTCTGAAAGCATGTCACCTCTATAAAACTCCAAACGGCAGGAGTGAGATTTAAATACAGGTCTTTCATCATGTGCTGCCTCAAACTGCTGGGGGGAAATATAGCAATCTTAAAAATGTTAATATTTAAACCATTTTTGGTATCTATATATTTTATCATAATTATCCAGTGACTAAAGATTTCAGCTCAGGATAATACCAAGTATTACTAATAAGTAAAAGGAACAAATGTTTTAAAAAAATTGACTCGATTTTAAGTTAAAAACCACCTACACAAAACTTAAATGTATTTTCATGCAGAAGACCTAAAAGACCCCCTGAATCCTGACAATTTGTTGTTTTCCGATCAAATTTTCCTATAAACCCCCCCACACACCAAACTCTCTTGTAGTGTGAGGAACTCCTAAACAAGTCACTGACTACACAGGGAAACAATGAAAACTGAATTACACAATACTGTCAAGTTTCAGAGTAACAGCCGTGTTAGTCTGTCTTTGCAAAAAGAAAAGGAGTACTTGTGGCACCTTAGAGACTAACCAATTTATTTGAGCATAAGCTTATGCTCAAATAAATTGGTTAGTTTCTAAGGTGCCACAAGTACTCCTTTTCTTTTTACAATACTGTCAAATGTGCGATTATGAAAGATCAATACTTTTATTCTCTATTTTCTTTCAGTTACAGTAATCTCTGGTGTCAGTGGAAAGAGGCAATGCTATCCCTAAAAGGATAGCAAGAACTATACCATCAGTTTGTGCATACATGAAGAGAATGACTTTTCTAAACAAAATACTGTAGCATCTTTGTCAAAATACCTAAAAGTACAAATAGAAGCTGTGGTCTAATAGTAAGATTACAGACCAACTAAAAGCCACTATCTTCAGGTCTGGCATTACAAAATTCTACACAGCAACGTTTTGTTACTCGTTTGGCAACAGTATCCAAAATTAGTAAATATTTGAGATCCAGTAAGCTCCTGTTATATAAATATAAAATTAAGGAAACAATGCTCTATCCAAGGAGTTTATTATTTAAAACAGCAAAGCACTATAGATATATAGTACACCATATGCTGCTGTGAGGATGTGCTGTTGAAATCTGACAGGTCATTTTTGAAAGTCTTCACAGAAGTAGTGTGCTTTTGAGGTGAGATTTTTTGTATTATTTATACAACAGAAATTTATAACTTAGTCAACTAATTTTGCATTGTGGGATATGTAAACAAGCACTAAAATGCCTTATCTTTTCAAATGAATCACTTCCTCCCCTCCAAATGCACTAGCCCAGTGTGCCCATAACATCACTCAGTAGGGGCAGAGAGCAGCCATTGGCTCCTACAGACCTGAGACACCCAAGCATTTTATCAATCACATTTGAAATTCTGTGTGTCAGCCTGGTGCCCTGAACAGCCTACAAGTTTCACTTAAGAGATTATTAAGCAGCTAAAGAAAACATTTTGAACTTTGGTCTGTTTGGCTTACACTGGTACAGCTAAATATAAAAATTAGTGTATAGCTGGGCTGAGACCTTCAATATCAAGTAAAAAAGGAGAGAATTTTTATTCTAGTGTTCAAACTATTTTAAATACAGATTTACAATGATATCACTAAATCCCTTTCCCCATGTATATCTGTTCCTTCAGTTACATCTAGCTTTCTCCTCCCAAATTTGAGCTCAAAGCACATTCAATTTACCGAACTTCTGCCCCCGCCCCAAAAACAGGGAAGCACGTCCTGCTGGATCAGTCACAAGATTTTCACTTCCGCTTCAACCACACTCTTTGTTTGTAACGCCAGAAAATCATTCTCCCTGGACAGGTGATAACAGGGAAAAATAGGAAGGTGCTTTATGATTACAACTGAAGACCAAGTTCTGATCTAAGTTTAACTTCAGTATGGGGTTACTTTGGATTTACACCCTCAGTATAAAAGTAGAGTTTATTCTACCTTGTATTTTCTTTCCAAGTCGAAGACTCCGTGCTAGATGGTACGAAGAATTAAGGGGCAACTCTAGTATGTTAATTTGGGGCTAGGAAAAGCTCTTCATGTTCTACTAACTTCAGAGTTCTCAACAGCTCTCAACTTTAAAACTTTAATCATGAAGACTTAAAATAATGCTTTTATTTTCAAGTATTTCTACATGTAGTTTGGTGCAAGTAGATTTCCTATGCCCATTTGATGTTGCTATACTTTTTAGATCAAATCTTTTGTAACCACACCATCATTTATTTCCTGTTTTGTTAAAATTAGGAAGCTTTTGTGCTTGAATCACTGGTTTATCTAGCAAATCAGATTTGCTCATTACTCAGATAAAAACTGACCAGTTTCCAAAGCACAACTCCCTCCAGTACTTTTTGCATGCCCTTAATCATCATGGAAGATCAACAGGGTTTTACTGCTAATCCCACCCAGAAAGAGTGCTTAACACAGGTCAACAACAAATTTTCTTGCATACACCTTGTTCATCATGGAGGAGACTAAGGGTATGTCTACACTACCCATGTCACAGCGCTGTGACATGGACAGTCTAGACATGCTTTATCGCCAGGGAGAGCTCTCCTGGTGATTAAAAAAAAAATCACCCCGAACCAGCAGTGATAGCTCCTGGCAATACAGCGCTATCTATACTGGCACTTTTCAGTGCTAAAACTTTTGTCGCTCAAGGGGGTGTTTTTTCACACCCCTGAACAACTAAAGTTTTAGCGCTGAAAGTGGTAATGTAGGCATAGCCTTACAGAGGATAAATTCCAATCATAGTCCCACTTCCTTAACCTTAAATAAGCTTGTCATGGGTTATGGAAACTAACAGTGTTTCTTCATAACACCACCAAAATCAAATCTATATTAACATCTCTTTAGATGGTGATACCTCTCTGGCACTTTTATATTGCACATTTCAGGTTTTGTAACAAAAAGCAAAACCTGTGCTCCTAACTTCAGAACAATGTATTTTCATATATATTAACAGCTGTTAACAGAAAACAATAAGCACTACCACGTTTAGCTTTTCAAAGAAACCAGCAAGGAATAAAAGAGTTGTCAAAATAAACATTAAAACTGTCAAAATACACACAAACTGTAACAGCAACCATTTTAGAATTAATTTGTCAGAGGAAGATACCTCTTTATTTCTAAAAAGCAGCACTATTACTTTCCATCAGATGTTTAGAACTCTTCAGGCTCCAAGCTGCAATTAAGCACACATTTTACAGAAGGATAGCCTTAGCATAACAACCACCTTGTCACAACACCGAAAATTCAGCTCCAAAAATAAGCCTGTAATAACAAGGCAGACTAAAATTTGTTTTCAGGTTGCTCTAGGATTGATTCTTCCTCCCCTTCATCCTTCACCCTCCTGTACCAAAAAAATACTCCACCTGAAGGGGTGCATACTGATGACTAAACTAATAGCAAAGAAAGATTTGCTATAAAACAAATTGTTTGCTCTGCTATCTGCTGTCCAAGACAGTGAATTACATACATAACCCCTGACCCAATATTTTCATCCACATTCAGTTTGCTGTGTATTGAGGTACCTTTTTAATTGTTGACATTTAAAATACTTGCGTTTTTTACATGCAACATGGGAGGCCCTGACATCCACCTCCTATTATAAGAGCACCATTAACGGCTTGAGCGCGTCTTTTAAGAATAAAATTGAATGGTCTGTAACCGATCGCAATATGTGCCAGCCTTATCCTGAGGAGCCAGGGCTCTACATTTCTCTCAACACCCCCCCGCCACACACTCCCCGGGAAGAGGCTCTCTGGGAGTTTTCTAACGTGTGACTGGCCTTTCTCCTGTTTTCAGCGCTCACGTTACGTTTCCAGGGGCTGCTGGGGCCGAAGGTGAGGCGCCCGAGTTGGAGGAGTTCAGAGGCGTGAGGCTTGGAGCAGGAGGAGGGAAGTAGTGTCTGTGTGGTTCCCCTCCCTTGCTCTGAAGGTCGGCAGAGCGACCGGCGGCGGGGACGTGCGTGCGGCTGAGGAGGGCCGCGGAGAGGGCCTGAGGGGGGCTGTGGACAGAGCAGCAGCAGCGAGGGGGCACGACAGGCTGCTGGCGGGGGGCGCTGCAGCCCCAGGGCACCGGCCCGAGGGGCGGCCGGGCGGGCGGAGCCCGGTCCCAGCTGGCGCGGGGGCAACGCAGGAGGCGCGGCGCTCGCTGCAGCGCGGGCGACAAGAGCCGGGCCCGTGGGCCCGCCCAGGCCGCTCTCCCGGGGGGCAGAGGCGGAGGCGGGCCTGAGGGAGAGCCCGGCGCCCGCCCGCCCGGGGCCCTTACCCACGGTTGACTTGCAGGCCTCGCAGAAGGTGTCGTCGGTGAAGCGCTCCATCAGGCTGGTCTTGCCCACGCCCCGCGAGCCGATGATGATGACCTGCAGCTTGAAGTCGGCCGGGCGCGGCGGCTGCTTCCTGCGGCGGGACTGCGGCCCCGAGAGCGCCGGGGAGCCCCCCGCCGCGAACTCCCGCCCCGCGCCGCCGCCCCTGCGCTGCAGCCCGGAGCCCGGCTCCATGACCGCAGGCGGCTCCTGCGCGACCCCGCCCCGCCGGCTCCTCGAGCGAGCGCGCGCGCGCGCTCCGCTGCCCCGGGCCTGAGGGGAACGGGAACTCCGCGGCCGCCCGGACAACGAGCGGCGGCCCGCGCAGCAGCCAGCGGGGCCCGCCAGCGGGGGGAGCAGCGCCCCCTTGAGCGCGGGAGGGCCGAGCTGGGAAACCGGCCGTCGCCGCAACTCGGTGCCGGCGGGGGCTGAAGGGAACGAAGGCGCCGCTGCGTGTGTGTCGCTAAGAGCGTGGGGGCACGCCGGGGGCCAGGCCGGCACGGTACCTCGGTGCGGCCTGTGCTGAGCTCAGCTAGCCCCGGGGGCCCTGGCCCTGGCCCTGGCCGGAAGCGCAGCAGCCAGAGCTGGGGATCAGCATTTCCCATCTAGGCTAAGTGCACCTGCCGGGTAATTTTAGCCACCTGGGTCCCAGGAGATGAGAGAAAGGAGGTAGGTGAGGTTTGATGGGAACAACTTCTGCTGGGGAGAGACACAAGCTTTGGAGCCACACAGCTCTTAAATCCACACATTGGATTTATGGCTTATTACAACAGCCTATGACCCCCTAACCCCCTTTGTGTCCTATGACTGCGGTGGTATTAAGGCCTCAGTCTACCATGAATAGGCCCTTACTTAAGATAAACAATCTGTTCCCACCTTTCTCAGACCTGAAGAAGAGCTGTGTGTGAAGACAGCATTTCTCCTCATCACATCAGCCTCTGGAGGCAGTAAGACAGGTCTGGTGGCCAGTCCTCCCTACATTGTGTTTTATAAAGATAAGGTGGTCCTGTATCCTCATTCCAAATTCTTCTTTCCAACTTGATCTGGCAGTTATTCTGTCCCCAAGCCTCATTCACATCCAGAGATGTCAGTCTGCAGTTTTAAGCCATGGTAATTGTAGTCTCTTTATGGGATCTCTGCAGGGTTGTGATTCCCAAACTTTGTCTTGAAACAGTCCCTAGTTGCTTGTCAGATGTCTCATCATGCCTCAGGCAAGTACTGCATACACTTCTCCTTCTAGCAGCTGTTGGATCCCAAAGAGCACTTTGCCAGCAGTCTGCAACCACCCCACTCTTCCCAGGGTACCCTCCAGATGGTCTGCCTCTGTGATCCCATCCTCAACAACTTCTAGCCGAATGCCATGGACCCTCTCTTCTCATGGTAACCTGCATCCTTCCGGAGCAGGAGGACAAGAGCAACAGCAGATTCACCCTTTGTGCCAGGTTTCCAGATTCCCAGTTCCACATTTAAACCATATAATATTCAGAAGAGAAGGTGAAAATTATTCATGAGATAGAGAGACAAGGCGGGTAAGGTAATATCTTTCATTGGACCAACTTTTGTTGGTGAGAGAGACAAGCTTTTGAGCTACACAGAGCTCTTCTTCATGTCTGGGAAATGTACTCAATGTGTCACAGCTAAATACAAGGCCGAACAGATAGTTTAGCATAAGAAGTTAGCACACATGCTAAACTATCTGTTCAACCTTGTGGTGCTTCAAGAACTTCCAAAACACGAGGAAGAGCTCTGTGTAGCTCGAAAGCTTGTCTCTCTCCCCAGCAGAAGCTGGTCCAATAAAAGATGTTACCTCACCCGCCTTGTCTCTTTAATATCCTGGGCCTGACAGCTACAACAACACTGAATACAATCATGAGATAGCTCACAGAGAAGGGAACACTCAGTCGAGAGCCACATTCTTGGAGAATATAGCGATAGTTCTGGTAGATGGGCTAGGCTGAGGTGAACAAAGGAAGTTAATGGAACTCGAAAATTTTTGAATTTTTGCCAACATTTTAAAAAATTTTTACAAAAAGAAAAAAAATTGCTGTTTTGCATCCAGGTTATACAGTGGATGAAATCTTTCAAAAATATGACATTTCAGTGAAAGTGTTTAACAATTAATTATGAAAAATTTCTGAATTTTTGATGATCTCCAATGCTGAATATTGTCAGGGATGGAGCAGCCCAATGGCAAGATAACAGCAAACAGCTGTCAAGACCACATGTGTGGTTTAATATGTGATGAAACAATCCAATGCTGCAGGTGAGTGATCCCCATAGGGAAAGCTATTAAAGGAGTAACATGGTAAGGTATCCCACTCATGTTAAAATCAGTAGCATCAAACCCCCAGGTAAAGACAGAAGGAGAATGCATCTGGAGAGGGTACACTGGAGATGTGGTTTCATCCTTCCTTATACTACAAAACAACACGCACTCTTACCTCAGAAGTGGAATTGTCTTTATGTCCCTGTTGTGAGGGTTTTTTTTGTTTGTTTGGGGTTTTTTGAACCTAGAAGAAGCTATCAGTACTTGCTGGTGGAAATCATTTTGGATCAGGAGAAGCAGGGGGCTTTGCATGCCATTGCTTTTTTATCCTCACAGAGCACCATCTGTCACTAGGAATATAGCAGGGGAGTTACAATGATTACAAAAAGACATGGAAAGGTACAAGGGAGCTGGTTGTCCAGGCCAAAGTTAGATGGAGCCAAAGAACTTATAAAGCTAGGCTCCAGAAGATAGATTAATCTGGATTAGAATTCAGTTCTGGTTAGAGTTTAAATCAGTTTGTGTTAGCTCAGGAAAGTTTCTCTGACTTTTAAGAATTTTAAAATTTGTCTTGATGGGAGGAATGAAGGACTAAGGCCTGATCTACACACAGTTTTTGTACCATTATAACTATTTCAGTTAGGGGTGTAATTTTTAAAATCAAAATAATTATAACAGTTCAGTCTCTAGTGTGTACATAGCTGCATTGGTATATAGGTGCCTTGTACCAGTATGGCTTTTCCCCTTGTATAGGAACAAGCTGAACCCGGTATAAGTACTTTTGTACTGGTAGAACTGCAGCCCTACTAGGGTAGGTTGTACCACTTTACATATACTAGTATAGGTAAAGTGGTTGAACTTTTGTGTAGACAAGGACAATAATTTACACTTTAAAATCCTAAAATATTTAATATATACAATAACCAAAATACCCAGGCCCTGAAAAAAATATGAGACCAAAACCAAATAAATGCAGAGGAAGGGATGGAATTTTGATTTCTTTGTAATTATTTGGTGGGAAAAAATCAATAAATTAGTGGGTCTTACACTGCGAGTACCACTGTTGTCATTACAAATCAAATCAGTACTGGACAGCAGATAAGAGCTTGGGGGCAGAGTTGACAGTATTCGCACAGCAGCTTGGAAGAGCAGAACAAGGACTTCTGAACTTTTAAAATGCCAACAGAATTTTTGAAAATGAACAGACATACGACAGCTTTCATACGTTCTCCTATTATAGACCATTCCTTAAGGCAGAAATCCTGTCAAAGTTCAATTCCCCAACCACCCTTTTAGTCCCACACCTTCCTATGGCAACTACAGCACTTGGTTTATATGCTAAGACTTTTCTGTGACTCTCCTCACCCTGGTATTTGAGCCCCTCACAAACATTAATTCATTTCTCTTTCAACACCCCTGTGAAGCAGTAAAGTAGTATTATCATCCCCCTTTTACAGATGGGAAACTCCAGCACAGTAACTTGCCCAAGGTCATGCAGGAAGTCAGTGGTGGGACTGAGAATGGAACATAGGTCTCTTGAGCTCAAGTTTAGTGCTTTAACCGCAATGATACCAATTCCACCTGCAGTTTGAGACCTATAATAACAGAAAAATAAGATGTAGACCAGCTAAAGTTGTATGTATCCCAGAGTTTACTACACCCCCATAAATTGCTCACTGGTAAATACCAGTTGGTAGATTGCTCATTATTGCTTAAATGAACCCCTCTTCCCCCTTTCTAGATCTCCACTAAGCAAAAAGTTGGCATCATAGAACATTCTATGATGTATGCCAGACTATCAGAGAGAGATGATTTTGTGGAGAGTTGTCATAAATATAAAGGGAAGGGTAAACCCCTTTGAAATCCCTCCTGGCCAGGGGAAAGCTCCTCTCACCTGTAAAGGGTTAAGAAGCTAAAGGTAACCTCACTGGCACCTGACCAAAATGACCAATGAGGAGACAAGATACTTTCAAAAGCTGGGAGGAGGGAGAGGAACAAAGGGTCTGTCTGTGTGCTGCTCTTTGCCAGGGACAGACCAGGAATGGAGTCTTAGAACTTTTAGTAAGTAATCTAGCTAGGTATGTGTTAGATTATGATTTCTTTAAATGGCTGAGAAAAGCATTGTGCTGAATAGAATAACTATTTCTGTCTGTGTATCTTTTTTGTAACTTAAGCTTTTGCCTAGAGGGGTTCTCTATGTTTTTGAATCTAATTACCCTGTAAGATATCTATCATCCTGATTTTACAGGGGGGATTTCTTTATTTCTATTTACTTCTATTTTTTATTAAAAGTCTTCTTGTAAAAACTGAATGCTTTTTCATTGTTCTCAGATCCAAGGGTTTGGGTCTGTGGTCACCTATGCAAATTGGTGAGGCTTTTTATCCAACATTTCCCAGGAAAGGGGGGTGCAAGTGTTGGGAGGATTGTTCATTGTTCTTAAGATCCAAGGGTCTGGGTCTGTAGTCACCTAGGCAACTTGGTGAGGCTTTTTACCAAACCTTGTCCAGGAAGTGGGGTGCAAGGTTTTGGGAAGTATTTTGGGGGGACAGACGCGTCCAAACAGCTCTTCCCCAGTAACCAGTAATTGTTTGGTGGTGGTAGCGGCCATTCCAAGGATAACGGGTGTAATATTTTGTACCTTGGGGAAGTTTTGACCTAAGCTGGTAAAGATAAGCTTAGGAGGTTTTTCATGCAGGTCCCCACATCTGTACCCTAGAGTTCAGAGTGGGGGAGGAACCTTGACATGGTGGCACAGTGGTGGGATTAACCTGAAATCATCTGAGATCCAGTTGAGATTTTTTGAACTAGAAATACAGATTTTAAAAAGGAAATTTTTTTTTTCTTTGGAAAGAAAGTCCAGAAAGCAGCTTTGAAACTTTGGCCAAGCAGAGACAAAAGGGGATTATCTTGTGAATTGCAGGTTTTTTTGCCTGGAGGCAGGGTACTTAACTCCTGCAGGGAAATTCACAGTCTTCCAACCCATTGTTTTTTTTTTTTTTTTC